TACGAAGGTGGTGGAACAGCGTGCTACCAACTTCTTGAACTTAGTAGTTGAATGAGTACACTTTACACCTATATTATCCTCTATAAAACTGAAATTTACACTTGTTTGGGCTTATGAACTACGAACTCAGCAACAAGGATTCACGTGCTCATTGGGTCGGCACTCTTCCTGGCACCAGTGCTGAAGTTCCTGCCCCGGGCCGTGCTGCAGGGCGTGTTCTTCTACATGGGAATCGCGAGCCTGACCGGCAACAACCTCTTCGACCGGCTGAAGCTGTGGCTCATCTGGGACCCGGCCAAGTACCCGCAGTACCACTACGTCCAGAAGCTGCCCATCAGTCGAGTGCACCTGTACACGGTCGTCCAGGTCATCTGTCTTGGAATTCTGTATGGGTTGAAAGCAATCAAGGAAACATCCGTGGTGTTCCCGTTCTTTATGGCCTCTTTGGCCATCATCCGCAAGGCCATGAGGTTCATGTTCACTGAGGATGAACTGAAGCAGCTGGACGGCCTTCCGGGTGAGGACGAGGAGGAGGATGCCTCGATGTCGAAGCCGGACATTGTGAATCTGGATGTGAAAGAGGCTGCCTAGGAGAGCAAGGATGTGCCGGGAGTTGTAGACGGAACTAGCGTAGGTAGGGAGGCCACTCAGCCGGACCTTTTGCAAAATTCATAAGTTTTGGTTCCTCGGAACTCGTCAGCGAAGCCCTTCTTTGAAGGCCTTTCCTGGCAAAACCTGATTCAGCACGGTTGGCACGACCTGGTGAGTGGGGATCTATCGTGTTAATGAGGAGATAGACTCTGGGTCTTCAGCCTCTTTGCTTGATCTTTTATGTCGAAATGCTCTGACCCATCCCGGGCCAAGCAACGCATACAAAGTGCTGAGGGTGGCCGAGCGCCGAAGGCGAACTAACCACCCTCCGGTACGAGTTCTTTGTACACGCAAGGCGTTGCTAAACCAGCTTACCTTGAATTGCACGGTGCAGAAAAAGCTGAAGCCCGTGCTGGACACTCGCGATCAGCATCACAGCCGGTCTTGCTAAGTAAGCAAGCAAGCATGAACATGAGTCTTTAATTAAACCAGGAATCAGACGTGCAGAAGAAAGGAGGTGTGCAATTGAATCAGTTTTCCTCATTGCACGTACATCTTTGTCTGTAGTCATTCCCTGTGGACAGAACAGAGCTCTTCTGCACTTGAAACCTTCTTTGACTTTACCGTAGTACCTTTGATTGGCATCCCGAAAAAACTCACTAAACCCATCCTGCTCAGAAAGAGAGCTGTGCAGGACATCGGCGACGATGCGGCTGTTGCCCGACGTCGGTCTAGGCCCGGCCCCCCCCACATGTTCGAGCAGGCATGCCATGCTTGTCCCAGTGCGATTCCGTGACTGCTATACAAACTAACTATCCAGAGAATGCATTTGTACGAAGTCTGGTTAGTGCAAGACAATTCATGTGTACATACACATGTATAGGTACACCTACATATACGTGCATACAGACATACGCGCAGACAAACATGATGTGCATACTTTCTAGATATGTACATCTACATGCACAGTTGTACCGCGTGCTTGGAGCGTACAGAATGTATGTTTGGCATGTTCGTATGGTATGGATGATCTCTCTCTATCTCTCTCTCTCTCTCTCTCTCTCTCTCTCTCTCTTTCTCTGTCTATACATACATATATATATGTATATATATATATATATATAAAATACGTGTGCATGGATTTTGTATGCTGCATGCATTCTGTATTCATGTAAGTGGGGGAGTGGGTATTCTGTGTTTGTTATGTACGTGATGTATGCAGTGTATGTGTGTGTATATATGCAGTGTATGTAGTTTATCATGGGTGTAATGTCTGGAACGCATGTAGCAGATAGACGGAAGCTATGTATTGTAAGCAAAGTAGGTAGTGACCGGAGAGCCCGTACTGTGTGTAATGCACTTAGTGTATGTATGTAGCGCCATACTATGCGAGGTACAGGGAATGCAAGTCTTTTAATCTATCGTATTGGCATGTAATGTACTGTCGCCTCATGACGTTGACTGCCATGTTATGTACTGCTAACAGCGTGATGTTTGTATGTATGCATGCATATGTACGTTCATGGGTGTATCTATGTGTACATGTATGTGAGTATGTGTACGTCAAGGCGAGCACCAATTCCTCTGTCAACGTCAGTTCCAGGCAATGCCAATGTTTGTTTGTTGTTGTGCTTTTCAGTCTCCCTGTCTGTTTGATTATCTGTGCCTGAACATATGCAATGAGGACCCTCTCGTAATCGTACCTGGGGGGGTGTGGCTCTGCCTGCTACCATTTCCGGCGCCTATTTTGGTTGAGTGGAGGCGGGGCCAGAAGAAATAGGTACGGGGAGTCCAGTTGGTGCGGTCATGTCGCTTGCGAAGAGAGAGAGAGAGAGAGAGAGAGAGAGAGAGAGAGAGAGAGAGACAGAGAGATGCCTGCGGCAGGGTCCCCTGACCCCCCCCTTCAACCCCCCCCGAAACCCCCCCTCCGCGAGGGGGTCCTCATCATATGCATGTATGTACGTATGTATGTATGTCTCTCTGTGTGTGTATGTATATGCGTTCTACTACGAATCAGTCATGCATGCAGTCATTTAGTTTCTGCGCAGTCTGCATGTGCATCTACACATGTGTGTATATATACATATATATACACAATGTATGTATATATATATACATAGATATCTACATATATGTATGTATACATACATATTTGCTGCGTTGTGTATATGCATACACTCATATTCATGGAGACGCATACGCCACATGTATTGACAGTACATGCAGTCGCTGCCGTGAGGCGTTTCGATACTACAGAACCGAGCTGTTACTCGCCGACCGTGATCTACTGCCGCAGGCAAGCCGATGTGGGAGCAGTGCAAACTTGGGATCAATCTTGCACTGCACTCCTGGTGTTGCAGTTGAGCTTTCGGAGAGTCCGCTTAGACCAGCCTGAACCATCTGACTGTTGTGTGCCATCAATAAGTTAGCAGATCCCATTTCCATTTTCTAACCATGCCCGGGCATGTTCCATCTTCAAGCCCAACCTCCCTACCCTAAACCCTAGAATTCTACGAGAAGACCATTTCCATTTTCAAGGTTTAGGGGTTTGGGGTTGAAGTGCTGGGAGATTTCTATGGGAGTGCGTGTGGTAGGGCTTGGGTTGGACGAGGGTGGTGTTCTAGTCGAGTTTGCAATGGTTCTACTGAATGGGATTTTTCTAAGTTGGGGTCCTTCCAGTGGAGTTGTGGTGGGTCTGATTCGAAAATGGTAATGGCATTGAGAAGTTAGTGTAGTCATAACCCTTAAGTTTTATACACTATAACTACACTATGGTTTTAATTTATTCATAAACCTTATTCCTTTATTTAAGCTAGACTGTTAGAGAATACCATTTCCTTTTTCAAGGGTTCGGGATTTCGGGCTGGGGGATATGGGTTGTTCTATGGGGGTATTGGTGTATGGGTTTGAGGTTGGGGTTTTTCTATGGGTCTTCTGGTGGTTCCATCATGTGGGTATTGGTGTGGGTCTTTCGGTGGGTTTAGGGTTGAGACATAGGTTAGTTATGGTTTGGGGGCTAGGGGCTGGGGCATGGTTAGAAAATGGAAATGGTATCTGCTCCTTAAACTACCAAACCCTACCTTTTTATAGGTTCTTATTATAAACCCTACTATGGATGGAATTTATAGGGACCCTACAAAATAGTAGGGTTTGGTAGGTTCAGGCTACCTCAGTACGTCTCGCTGTTGCTTCCAGGAAGCAGGACGCGGACGATGTGGCGCAGCTGCTGAGCAGAGGCCAATGCATCCTTTTGCAAGAGTCAAAGGAGAAAAGGAGGGACCCTTAATGGGGACCCCTACCCTATAATGGGCTAAAGTGGGTATATAATCGCTATACCAGGGGTATATACCTAGGGGTCCTTATTAAGGGTCCCTCCTTTTACCCTTTGCAAGAGGGTCCGGGTTAGTCAGCGAGGGGGCCAGTCCCAAGTCATGTCCAGCCGAGACCGTAAGACCTTAAACCCTACATTCCATCAACACTGAACCCTTAACTGCCCGCCGCGAACGTTTAGTCCTCAAGACTCAGAAGCGCAGAAATACCGCCGCCCGCGATGTCGCCATTGCGGGCCGACAGGAGACTTTTCGCAGTGGCTTGGCGCTGACCCGCGGAACCGCTCAAGCCAGTAAGCCTAAATCCAGCTTCTTTTGATTCTGTGTTTTGTCGGTTTTCATGTTAGACCGAACCATACCGTATCCCGCCCTGCGTTTGTCCTGCATCGACTCTTCACTGTGGCTCCGGTTCGGGTTGACCAGTTCGCGCTTAGGATCGCTAGTAAGCAACAGGGAGAACAATTGCCCCAAAACATAAACCCTGACCCGGGATCTGGCCGAGCGGCCATTCTTTCTCTCTCTCTCTCTCGCTCTCCTTCCGGCTCGCTCGCTCTCTTTCTGTTCCTTTCCCTCTCGTTCCCGCTCCGGCTCCCGCTCGCGCTTGCTCGCTCCTTTTTGTTGCTCTCTCTCTCTCTCTCTCTCTCTCTCTCTTCTCTCTCTCTCTCTCTCTCTCTCTCTCTCTCTCTCTCTCGCTCACTCCCTCTCCCTCCCTCCACCCAGCTCATTAAAGTAACTTTGCATCATAGTACCTCGCTGACATCATACGACATGGCACAGTATTGCAGTGTGTTGTGTTGCATTTTGTGTCACTACATGCTGCTATGTATTCAGTTACTTGTGACATCTTGTGACACTACGTTTGTGGTGACTGGTATTATGTTATACGACTTCTTTGTACCTTCGCTTGTCAAGTTTTTGTTTGACTATTTGTTAGCCTGCATTACATTTCATGTCATGTACATGGCATGTACATGAGCTGCAGATCACATGTGCATGACACACGCATGTCATGTGCATGTCAAGTGCATGCATGCACATTACATGGACATCACACGTACAGTGTATGCACACTTCATTGCAATGTGCCTTCTTTGCTTTCAGTTTCCGATACACAGAAGACAGTTCACTACAGGTAGACCCTGTACCTGCAAGGTCTTGCAGCTCCTGCTGGTATGCACCACGACTGCAGAGGCACCAGAATTTTCAAGATCTTCGATAGGAAGCTTGTGCAGCGGCCCCCATGGGCTCGTGCCCGGAGGTGACGCTGGGCGATCGCTTGTTCAAGGGTGCCCTCAAATATGCCAACCAGAGCTTGAACGGCCGCTTCATCAGCCAGATGGTTGATGGCTCACTGCCCCAAGCGGCCTTTGACTACTACTTGTGCCTTGGATGCCTTTCCCGCCTCCCATGCCCCATGCTCCGCCCTCCGAGCATGAAGCCGGTTTTCATTGTGATCGGCGAGAGCCCGTCGTCTGGCTTGCTTAGCCTTGGCGCGAAACTCTATTGAAAGCTCAAACCTCAACAGGCCTGAAACCCGAAACATACTAAACTGCCGTGTCTCTGCCTACCTATGCTAGCCCTATCAGCACTGTGAACTGCAAACCCTGCAACCCCAATGCCCCTAAACACCAATATCCCAAACCCTGAATCCCAACATCCGTAAACCCTAAACCCCCAGATCCCCGGATCCCGATATCCCAAACCCTGAACCCCGTCCTGAAGCCCTTACGGCCTGACTCCCCAATATCTCAAAACCTGAACCTAACTGTCCCTAAACCCTAGAACCCCTTAACCCATGAACTGAATCTCAAAAAACTCATCCCTAAACCCCAGAACCCCTTAACCCCTGAACTGAATCTCAAAAAAAATCATCCCTAAACCCTAGAACCCCTTGAACTCCTGAAATGAATCCCCAAAAAAACTCAGGAAGCAGGACAACCTATACCTCTCCAAGTACGCCCGCGCCTTCGGAGTGCTGGGGGCTAAGGCCGGAGTCTGAATTCATGCGGGTGGTTGTCAAAATTAGGGTCCCTTTTTGGGTCCTTCATATAGTACGGCACCTACTTTTTAGGGTACCCAAAAAAAGGGACCATAATTTTGACAACTACCCATACAGACCCCCAGGTTTAGGGATTTGGGGCGTTTAGGGTTAGGGTTTAGGGCCCCAGATAAATGGGTCCCCTCCCTTAGTGAGAACTTACGACATCTTCGGACCGAGGCCTTCCAGGGTGTTTGTATTTGGGGGGGTTGCATTACAAGGTGTGAGTGTGTAAGTTCAGGTATCTAAACTTGTTGTTCCTTTTGGTCTGATATGTATCGTGCTTTGCACTACAGATCCGCAGCTCTCATATAGAACTGATAGCGGCCCTGCACAACACTAGCGTATAGTCTTACCACGCACGAGGAAAGGTCATGGTAACACTAAGAATGCTGTTGATCCGGGTAAGCCTTTCGGGTCGCTTGATCAAGATCCATCTTCGGCCTTTTTCGGGCCGTGCTTGAAAGTCGCAGGGAGCCGGAGTAGAAGCATCTGAATGCTACAAGCGCTAGAGCGAGTGCCAGCGTGCCGGTGCACGCCAGATAGTGGAAGTTGGGAGCTTTCAGAGGCGTGCGGATTTCGGAATTTTTGCTTCTTGGATCTGCCGACCAGGCGGCCGGCACGGAAGAGCTCGCCTGGTTGCTGAACCGATCAGCTGCTTGCCCGCAGCTCTGACTTTCATGAGAGTTTTTTGCGACTTCAACGGAGAATCCTTCAGAACCGGGCACTATAGGCCCAAACCAAACCCAAACCCTAAACCCTAGCCCCAACTGAGGGTCGGCAAGCAAGAAAGGTGGGCTTCCTGCACGAGCACGGCAAGAAAGCCAACAGCGAGCTCCGGGAAAGCACTTTCGAAAAGGAAGCTTCCGTGAGGAGCTCAGACCTTACCGGCTTGCCAAGAGCTTTGAGTCAAGCCTGACAGTTCTAAGCAGACAAGCAATCGACTATCCTAAGGCTTGCTCAGTATATTGAAAAGTTCTGATATGGTACACCCCCAAAACCTGTCCGAGTTCTACTTGCTATACTATGGGTGTTTTCAGTGGTCTTCAGGAAACAGGTGGAGACGCGCCGCACCGAGGCGACCACGATTGCCTATACTTCCTTCATCCTGGAATCAGTCTGGGGCGACGACATGATCATGGGATACTCGGGCTGTTCAGGGGTATTCTTGAGGGTCTAGGGTTCATGGGTTTGGGGTTTAGAGTTTGGGAAACTTGTTTGCTTCATTTTTGTTTGGGTTCATATTCTAGCGAACGAAACCCCAAAAAGAAATGATGTGGATTTCTCAGTGGCGTCTTGAACAAACCCTAAACCCTAAACCTAGGATATGCGTCTGTCCTGCCATGCCAGCGACTCTACGACTACCTCTTTGCCACACTGAATCTTAGCGGCTGGGTAGGTAGGTTTAGGGTTTAGGGGTTTAGGGGTTTAGGGTTTAGGGTTTAGGGTTTAGGGTTTAGGGGTTTAGGGGTTTAGGGTTTAGGGTTTAGGGGTTTAGGGTTTAGGGTTTAGTGTTTAGGGTTTAGGGTTTAGGGTTTAGGGTTTAGGGTTTAGCTAGCCTTCAACCTTTTTGAATTTGTAGACCCCTACCAGACTTGAAAGGATAACCGTTTTTGTACAAGGGTGCTCAGCCCCTGAGGAATCGCACAAGGCACATTGCAGAGGATAATCCGTACAAGAAGTTCATCGAGCAGCAACTGGTCCTGCGATTATGAGGCCCTTGTAGTAATCAAGCACTCTTAAAGTAATTCTTGTGCTCTAACATACACCAAAACCCCCTTCTAACATGCACAAGTCCTCTGATGCGTTGTTCGTCTCAGACTTCTCTCCGCAACGGACCTTTGGAGTTATTGCGGCCCCTATGTTTCGAGAACCCCGGCCACAGCTCTGTGCTCCGCGAACCAGGACAGGTGCAACGATTCCTACATGGCCCGGTTTTTATTAACATTCGACATTGATTGAGGGACAATCCGGCGGGAGTTCAACTTCGTGCCACGCCACACCATCACCCAGAACCCCAATTAAGCCGAGAACAGCCCGAATCCAGATGCTCTAAGCGCCAGCAAACCTAGCCGCTAGACCAAACCTCGCAACCTCAAACCTACAATACTAAACATGCCTCTCGGCCTCCCCCCACCTCGACCCGACACCAAGCGAGGTACGCTGATCCTAGCAACCATGTGATCACTTTGAAGATGGAGTCCTTTCTGGAGAGCCCCGGCTTGGCCCACGATTTTTTGTTTGTTTTTTTGGGGGTGCAGGATCCTCTGGCCGGTACTCATATTAGTCTGGTCGATGTTGACAAATGTAAATGCCGAGAGACTTTTGGACCTGCATTTGTCTTTCAGCTCTGTGCGGGGGTGGGGGGGATGGGGGCGTAAAGACTTCCATGGGAAAGCGGCTTGTGTCTTCTGTTCCTTTTGTTGCGTTAGTTCTCAAACGCTGCCTGTTGCTCTGTGAAGCCATTGTTGCTGCTTCTTGTTGCTTCACCTTTGAAGCGTCAACCATGCAAAAACCTCGAGTGTTCGAATCTTTCCAAACAAATACTTCGCAACGAACACCAAAAATCAACAGAATGGACGAAAAGCATGGTATTTGCGACGCACTTCGCAAAAGCGTAACAAAAAAACAAGACAACAGACTGGGGAAACAACGATCCTAAACATCGTCTTGTTGACGACGACGAAACCCATACAAAAATCAGGTTCTTCAAGCTTTTGACCAAAAATCCTCTCAAGATAAGCGACACACCCCACGCGGCAGCAGACGCATGTGCCACCTTGTTGTTCTTGTGGTAGTTTTTTCTTGTTACTCTTGGTATTATTGTGATTGGTGTTGTGTTTTTCTTGATCGTCGTGTTCTTGTTGGTCTTGTTCTTCTTGTGATTCCTGTTCTTCTAGTGTTAACATTACGGAGTGGTTATTGTTCGGGTTCTTGTTGTTCTAATTGTTGTTGTTCTTGCTGTTACTGTTACTGTCATTGTTGTTGTGTCTGTTGCTATTGCTGTTGCTGCTGTTGCTGCTGCTGCTGCTGCTGCTGGTGTTGTTGTAGCTGCTTGTGTTATAAGTTTTATTCTTGTTCGTTTCGTTCTTGTTGTGTTATCTTGCTTGTCTTGTTATTATTGTTATTGTTACTGTTATTGTTTTTTTCTGGTTGGTCTTGTTGTTCGTTGTTTTGGTTATGCTTGTTGTTGTTCTTGTTCTTGGTATTCGTCTTTCTCTTATTGTTATTACTGGTCTTGTTCCTCTTGTTATTATTGTTCTTGTTGCTGTGTGTTCTTGCTTTTAGTGTTTTTCTTGTTCTGGTTCTTCTAGTTTTGGCATCATTTTTCGTGTTCTTGTTGTTCCTATTGTTCTTGCTGTTGTTGTTGTTGTTGTTGTTGTTGTTGTTGTTGTTATTGTTGTTGTTGTTGTGGTCGTGGTCGTCGTCGTCGTCGTCGTGGTTGTTGTTGCTGTTGCTGCTGTTGTTGTTGTTGTCGTCCTTGTTGGTGATGGTGATGGTGGTGTTGATGGAAGTGGAGGAGGTTGCAGTGTAGGTTTTCGTTGCTTGCTTGCTCGTTGCTCGTTGCCTTTGCTCTTGCTGTTGGTCTTGTTGTTGCTTGTGGTCTTGGTGGTGATGGTGGTGGTGCTGCTGCTTCTGTTGCTGGTGTTGCCGGTGGTGCTGCCTGTTGTTGTTGTGGAGGGTTGGTCCGGTGTTGGAGGTGGCGGTGGTGGTGGAAGCTGTTGTGGTGGTGGAGATTTGTCTGAGGTTGTTGTGTCACGATCGTCCTTGTCGTTTGCCGTATTCTTCGTTCCTTCCTTTCTTTTGTTCTGCTGTTGTTGTTATCGTAACTGTTGATGTTGGTTCCGTGTTTTGTTGCTCCGGGTTCGCCGACCGGGCATGGGCTTGGCTTGAATCTTGAAAGTTCCCGGGCAGTTAGAAAGAGAGTTAGAAGTACCTGAGCCGGGGGCAAGTAAGTAGGCATTATGAGGCTTTGCTTTGGCATGGACAGTGGGAGCAGCGGTGCTTGACCAGCCACCCCCGCTACGTTGCAAATTCTTCCCCTTAAACACTCAACCCGTAAACACTCCAGCAAGAGGTTCAAACTGAGGAAAAGGGCAGATAAAGCAAAAGCCTGAGTCATGAACCCTGAACCATGAGGCAGTATGCCGTACATGGCTTGTCCGACGAGTGGCTTGCGCGAGCTCAGTTCCACTACAACACGGCCATGAAGCATCCTAGCAGTGGTTTACGTCAGACGCGTCTTTTCCGTGATCCAGTGAAGGGAGTACTTGGAGGAGAATGGGACTTAGTAAGTAGGGCTATAAGTGCCTTAATTGGGGTTAAAAGTACTTATAAGTATGGTTACCTTATTTATAACCCCACTTACTAAGTCCCATGATCCTTTAAGTAAGGATCCAGATCATTCCGACCGAGCCTTGACCCTACCCTAAAACCTTTCAGCCACTTCTTCGTTTTTTTCTTGCTCAGCAGGCATTTTCCCTGCCTTTGATGCATCTGTTTGCTTTTGGCTGCTCGTTGCTTTCATTATGGTACATCTCATGAGTTCTTACTTGTGACCATTTCCCGTTCAAAGGTGTGTATATATATATATATATATATACAACCAGCTAGTTAGTTAGTTAGTTAGTTAGTTAGTATAGCATATATATATATATATATATATATTTATTTATTTATCTATTTATTTATGGTTATCCAGGGTTTGTTGAAAGATGCGACCTGTCACACTGAAAACCGTAGGCTTCCGCAGCGCAAGCATCGGTACTTTCCATTACTTGCCTGTACCGAAAGGCTCCAAAGTAGTTCCTTTTTGGAGTTCATATATAGAATCCTAGAAGGTAATCCCAAAAAGGAACTACTACGGAGCCTCTGGGTACAAGGTACGAGTCTCAGTTCTTCGACCAGGCGATAGAGCATTGTGAGGAGACCGGCTGCGAGCCGGCGACCCCTATTCGAGCACTGGCTGAGGCGGAAGCGCATTGTTGCTTGAGCTTCTAAAAGACCAACATCTGAAGATCCTGCGCTCTTTCTCAGGTACCTGCACCAGTCCAGCAAGCCGCAGAACATTCGCGCTGGTCTACAGTTTGCGTGATGCCTGTCTGAAATTTCTGCGGCTGTCTGTTAGCTCGAGACGTAGGACCTGTACCGTGCCACTTGCACTTTTTGTACGCTGCAAAGAAGTTCATGCACATATTAATTCGCCACATAGCAGAGATTGACATAGCCTGTATCTGTGCATGAGGATGCATGGGTAAGCCTGCACGCATGATGGTTTGCTTGAATTGCCGTCCCATATTGTGCGAATGCAGGTGGTTTGAAGTCGAGGGTTGGAATGTGTGTGTGTGTGTGTCTGAGAGAGAGAGAGAGAGAGAGAGAGAGAGAGAGAGAGTTCATAACGTCACATGGTAAGCAAGATTAATCTGTATGTCTGTCGAACATGATACTGTAAGCATCCTCAAAGATACGGCCCTTAGCAGTTGTGTTGGTAAGCTACTAGCAAGGACAATCATCCTGACTTATTGCTGGATGTCGGTATACCAGCTGCGAATAGACCCATGGATCTTAATTTAAACCCCAAAAGCCCTACAGTAAATCCTCAACCGTGGGAAAACGGGCTGCATAGAAATCCTAAACCAGCATGCAGAGCAGGGCTTCGAATCGAAACGTGTACAGTCGCGAAGGACTTTGAACAAGCATCCGGCAGCCTCTCCAGTGTGAAGCTTGCGGAATGAGCTATTACGGGGGCCCCATAACCATGGAATAGGGTTTTGGTGCATATTTTACTACAACCAGAATACGGAAACCCAAAATGGTACTGTATTGGTAACTATTGAGTATAGTGAGGCCCTAAGGGCATATTCGACATGGAGCATCGGATTTTGACAACAGCCTCGCGGCCCGTGGGACTTGGTTTGAAAGCATCCTACCCTAAACCCTAAGCCATGTATGGTGCCTCGTCCGCTCCCATACACCGGCTGAGAGGGCGGAACACATGCCATAAAGCAATGCTTGCTTGGATCCTTTGAGAGTCTAGGGTTTTTGGCAAAGAGCGCAGAGCCTTCGGGTTTTTTCAAAAGATCAGACCGCAGTTTGCCCACAGCTAAGGGCTTTCCCTGCCGCGGCACTGGCCTTGACGATTTCAGGTCTCTGGGGCTCGCGCATGAGAGCTGCCGCCACTTATGCGAAGCCTTAGTATGCTACACGTGCACATTCAAAGTGTTCGTGGTGATAGTCGAGAGAACCTTGTTGATGCTGGTAGCAGCAGCCAGACCAGCGCTAGATAAGAGACCAATTAAGCGAGAATCGGTGTTACTGACAGCACCAAGGCCAGTCATGCATGACCTGCAAATACCCGGTGCCCTTGGCAGTGGTAGGAAGTGAGAAGTCCTATTGGCAATCTTCATGACAAAGTGCTGATACTTGTGCTGTTATTTGTAACAGAGTGAGCCAGCAGAGGAGAAAAAACAAAAATGCTAAGCTGCGAGACTCTTGAATCGAAGGTGGACAGAGGCAACAAAAACACAAATTAAAGTCAGAACAAGCACGAACACTGCGACTAGCTGAGGTTCGGCCGGATGTCCGCAATGATCCGAAGGAGGCACTCTTGTGATGGCACATGATGGCACTCCACGGAATGCAATGACAGACATCTGGCCTTCGGTTCTTCGACGAGCTTGGCGCCTTCGCACATGCTGCCGAAAGACATGGTGCTCTACGCGACGCGCGAGACACTGCGGCGATGCCGGAGGATTTGAGAGCCATGTAGGATCCGTCACGACCACAACAGTACAGTTCATCCAACTGCGGGGCTCCGCGGTAAATGCATCGTGCCTGCTATTTGTGATGGCAAGCATGCCATAGGAGACTTCCCACAGGTGTTGTTATGCCTTCTTGCACTGGGCAAGCTGCAAGCAAGGGGTGTTGGCGAAGGTTGTCCCTTACGGTTCTGCCTTGATGGGCTCACGAATTTCCAAGTAGTTCCCACTTTATAATCTTTGCCAAGTTTGTCCGCTTGCGAGCCCATGCTTTCGCCAGCCCAGCTTGACGGTATGAAGCTGAAGTCCAAGTTCACTTTCATCGATGTTGAGGAGCAGTTGCCGAGTCTCAGGCGTTGCGCGAGCACGCCGGCAATGACGCCTCCTGGCAGCGTGGCTCACTGCGAGGACGACTACTTGGCAGGGCTCCTGCAAGAAGCGAAGCTCTCTCTCCCACATCCCATCCCACGCAGGGCTCCGGAAAACTCGGGTGACATCGCCTTTACCCCAACACCGGCACTGCAAAGCATTGAAGTGGCTTGTGACCAAGACTCAGATGTCGCCGGGAGCCTCGGGCATCCCTATTTCTGCCGCCGCCCTTGCCTTTTACTGGCATTGGGCAAGTGCCGAAATGGAATGGCTTGCAAGTACTGCCATCATGCCCACGACAACGACAAGTCGCAGTCGTTTTCGAAAGGCACTCGTGAGAGGATCAACCGCATGAAGGGCTCCGCGAAGCTGCGGTTGCTTCGTGATAGCCTGCGCCAGAAGGTGCAGAAAGTTCCGGAGTTAGCTTTGCAGGTCACGGGGCTTGTGGACGTCATCGAGGAAGGGCTATGTCACGACGCCCCAGAGTCGTCAGAATCCACGGGCTCGCGACTTCACGAGAAGCTCGCTGTCATGTCCGTGTCTGCCATGCTGGGTGACTCGATATAACTGAATTACAAACGTAGTTCGATGTCAAGTGCGTTCGATTCGTCTGGCACCACCAAACCGGGTAAACTCCAAGCCCTAAACCGCCTAAACCACAGACTCCGAACTTCAGGTGATATGTTCACCCGGAACATTGAGCCGGACATTCGATGTCGCCTACGGGAGGAGCTCCGGCGTCTCCGCATCGAAGCCTGCTTTGAAGCCTGAGCGTGCGACGGTAGTTATGAGATGTGGGATATACAGGTTTAGGGTGTTGCGGCTCAAGGAATCCCATGGCTGCCTGTCTCGCTCATATCCGCTTTCGCGGTATCGGTGTAGCGAAAAGAGGCATCCGGAAGTTTATTTCTGAGATTTTTTATAATTTACACCGTCAAGTCAGTCATTTTAATCTATTCGCGAGCGTTTGGGATGTAGGATTTAAACCTTATGCTGTAAGGGCTTTGATAAGTACCAATACTATATTGGGGGTTCCTTGTTACAAAAATTACTATACCCCCACATATCCTAATCCTTAGGGCCCTTATAGTACACCCAACACGCACGGTGCAGCAAGAGGGGTGCAGTCGCCTGCTGCTGGAGTCCGTCCCAGTATTTCAATCCTTACCTTTCGCGGGGGTCAGGGGTGTAAGGTCAATAACCTGGCCACCCAGAGGCTCCATAGTAGTTCCTTTTTGGGATTACCTTATAGGATTCTATATATGAACCCCAAAAAGGAACTACTTTGGAGCCTTAGGGCAGAGAGTACTGGAAGTTCGGCCCAGGGGCTCTGCCAGAGACTCGCGCGAGACGGTAAGCTACCGATTTTGTGTTCAAAGTTTAGCACCCAGAGTCAGGGTACCTCGTACCTGGCAATTTCAAGGAATCCCATTTCCGCGCGGACAGCGTTGCGATTCCAATTCGTCTGTGTGACAAGCAGCTAAGCACCTGCGACGTGCCGTGACTTTTGCGCAGGTCGAGGGTCCTTCCCTCAGGTTGACTTGCCATAACGCATGGACATGTCGTGGGTGCTTGGCGACATGCCGGCAGGCCTCTTCCCCTACCTTCAAACGCACATACATGGCAGCTTCTGACGATGTTTGAGAATGTTTGAAGAGTGTCGGAAGCTGGGGATCAAATCGCGATGCCGAACAGAACCCAGATAAATCATAGCAGGCTCGGTTAGCGAACCAAGTAACTAGGCAGAAAGTGGAACATCATAGAAGACCAACGGCAAGCCTTCTGAAGCAAGTCAGTACCAAGCTGGGAAAAGGCGCTCTGAGCCCTACAGTAGACTTCGCCTGCAGAATCTCGTTGATCACTAGTGTGCTTAAATATCTATAGTTCTAGCATGCTGCGTGACTTGTGCTGTGGTGTGATAGTGTAGGAACCTGATTAAGAAACCCTGGCCGTATAACCCCATTAAACCCTAAAGCTTCATAAATCCTAAACGGTCGAGTGTTGTAAGAGCCGAGTTGATTGTTGGAGCCTGCCACGTCAAGTTATGAAAGTCTTCAGGCATCCCAGGAATAGAAAGTTGAATCCAGGATAACCTGGCTGTGAAGCTATCCAAAAATGGCTGAGACTCCACCCGTTGTGGGTGAGAAATGCGCTGCTAGGAGGTTTGTCGGGACCCACATCTCAAGGTGGAAGCTCCCTAGTGCGTGGCTCGTTGCGCTGGAAAAATCTCCGTCGAAAGCGACTGATGTGGGCTTCCAATCTCTGCTTGCTCAGATTCTTGATCGGATGATTTGATCCCTGTCATAGCCAAGAGGAGCAGCGTCTCATGATACAGCGACTGTCGGCAAAGCTTTGTGTCCAAGAAAGTGCCAGTCTCACGGCCGTTTGCCATCGCCCCAGACTGGCACTTTTTGAGCCCTGCCAGCAGCGCTCTAACAACGCGACCTCCCAAAGATCAGGTGGCGTGCATATCAAGTTTGCCCGTCTCATGGCATCGGCCAAGCCTTGCCATAGGGGCCCGCTTTATGATTGCGGATGTGTTTGGCAGTTGATCTTCCCATTGTGTCGGTATTCATGGCCGTTGTAGTTGTTTGGCATGTCGGATTTGTATTGGTCTTACTGTGCTCTGTTTCTGATGATAAAAACTTTCAATCTATCTAGCCTGCGAAGGAATCTTCTAGCGCAGCCCTAAGGACGAGCTGCCTGCAGTAAGAACGGCCAACACATAGGGGCTTGAACGGTTGGTGATACTATTCAACCTCAATATAATATAATATAATATAATATAATATGAAATAATATAATATAATATATATATATGAATATATATATATACATATATATATATATATATAGATGAAACAAATTATATGTATATATGCAGAGAGAGAGTATCATCGCATAACGTCATCCGAACCCTATTCTGCCTACTAAGCCACTCTACATTCTGTTCGCTCATGTTTATGGACTAGAAACCGCAAGTACAAGCAGCATCGGAGTTCTTTTCGCGACTGCTCCATTCGCAACTTTGGAGATCGTTCCTCGAGCCATGCCACAAGTTCCATTGAGTCCTATGGGCCTCAGGGCTTCATGCCGGATGTAGGATCCGTTACAACCACAACCGATCATCCAACTGCAGGGCTCTGCGGCAAAATGCTTCGTGCATGCTGTTTATGATGGCAAGCATGCCGTGGGAGACTTCCCACAGGTGTTGTTATGCCTTCTTGCACTGGGCACATTCTGAAAGCAAGAAGTGTTGGCGAAGGTTTTCTCTTGCGGCTCGGCCTTCGTGGGCTCAAGAATTTGCCGCTTTCCATCATCAGTCCTTCCAAAGCTGGCGCGGTCTGCTTGCAAACCCATGCTTTCGCCAGCCCAGCTTGACGGTATGAAGCTGAAGTTCAAGTTCACTTTCATCGATGTTGAGGAGCAGTTGCCGAGTCTCAGGCGTTGCGCGAGCACGCCGGCAATGACGCCTCCTGGCAGCGTGGCTCACTGCGAGGACGACTACTTGGCAGGGCTCCTGCAAGAAGCGAAGCTCTCTCTCCCACATCCCATCCCACGCAGGGCTCCGGAAAACTCGGGTGACATCGCCTTTACCCCAACACCGGCACTGCAGAGCATTGAAGTGGCTTGTGACCAAGACTCAGATGTCGCCGGGAGCCTCGGGCATCCCTATTTCTGCCGCCGCCCTTGCCTTTTACTGGCATTGGGCAAGTGCCGAAATGGAATGGCTTGCAAGTACTGCCATCATGCCCACGACAACGACAAGTCGCAGTCGTTTTCGAAAGGCACTCGTGAGAGGATCAACCGCATGAAGGGCTCCGCGAAGCTGCGGTTGCTTCGTGATAGCCTGCGCCAGAAGGTGCAGAAAGTTCCGGAGTTAGCTTTGCAGGTCACGGGGCTTGTGGACGTCATCGAGGAAGGGCTATGTCACGACGCCCCAGAGTCGTCAGAATCCACGGGCTCGCGACTTCACGAGAAGCTCGCTGTCATGTCCGTGTCTGCCATGCTGGGTGACTTGATATATTTGAGTTTGCAAACGTTATTCGCTTTGAAATACGTTAGATGCAAGCTGAAAGCTTACTCATGTCTTGCACCACTAAGCCGGGTAATATCCGGGGACAATAATTACCATATAATTACCTGTACTAGTTTGGGGTTCCTTGTTATAACTGTATAGCCCGTAATGTGTCATTTTATGTAACTCTTGTATACTTTTGTATGATGGGCCCCAAACCCAACTCCAGTTGTTATGGCCCCTATAACCCTAAGCCACAGACCTAAACCCTCAACCCTACCTGGACCCCCCAACTACCCCCAAACATACCATAAGGGCTTTATTAAAGGGAACTTGGGGGGTCCTGGTACTTACCTTTGGTTAGTAGGGAATGGAAGAATGGTAGTAACAGTAGCTATAATTGTACCCCATTCCTCCATTCCCTACTAACCAAAGGTAAGGGTAAACCCCCTCAGACTCCGAGCTTAAGGTGATATGTTCACCGGGAGCTTTGAGCCGGAGATTCGGCGTCGCCTACAGGAAGAGCTCCGGCGTCTCCGCATAGAAGCCTGCTTCCAGGCCTGAGCCTGCGCTTTAGGCTACAGGATATAGGGTTTAGGGTATGGGGTTTAGGGTATGGGGTTTAGGGTATAGGGTTTAGGCTTCAGGATAGAGGGTTAGGGTATAGGGTTTATAGTTTAGAATATAGGGTTTAGGGTATAGGTCTAGGGTTTAGGGTTTAGATAAGTGCATTACTACGCGGGAGTTTCCAAAATTAGGGATACTTTATTTTGGGGTCCTTAGAACTAGGATCCTACTATTCAGGGTACTGTATTAGGGTCCCCTGTTTTTGGAAACTCCCATATGATATGTAGGTCTTACAAGGTGTAATGAGGGTTTAGGGGCTTGAAGGTATGGAATATTATGGAATGGTTGTATCTGCTTTCGGAGTGTCGGTATAATGCATCGCGCAGAGTCCAGGCAACACACGCAGGGTGCAGTCAGAGGCGTCCTGAGAGATTTTATATTTCGTCCCATCAGTTCACCTTACCGTTCGCGAGGGTTTGCAAAGGCGCGGGGCCCAGAACTGGGTTTCGAGTTTTTCGGGCCTAGGAATGAAAATTTGAAGTTGGGCCAGTTGGGCCCAGGGGTTTTGCCAGAAGCTCGCGCGAGATGGTAAGCTGTACGGTGTGCGCATCGTGTGGGACTCGACTTCCACCGTCCTCAGCTTCGGCTGCGGCTTTCCGATTTCCAGCACGGTCAAGCCAGAATACGGAGTACCTGGCAATTTCGAGGAATCCAATGTGACAGCTTTGGGATTCCCGACTGTCTATCTGAAAAGCACGGGCGACGTGCCATGACTTCAGCGCCGGTCGATTCCTCAAGTTGACCTGCCATTGCGCATGGACATGTCGTTAGTGCCGAGCAAGATGCCGGCAGGCCGCTTCCTGTACCTTCGAAGGCACGTGCATGGTAGCTTCTGACGGCCTGAAATGTGTTTCAAGGGTGTTGGAAGCAACCGTTGAGGATCCAATCGCGATGCCGCACAGGATCGGTTGTGAGCCAAGGGGAGCGAACCGATTAGGCAGAAAATAGTTAATCATGGAAGACAATATCTAGCTGGGAGAACGTGTTCTAAGCCCTAGACAGCACCGCAGGTTCTTGTTGATCACTGATGTGTCTAAATATGAAATTGCATGGCTTGTGCTTTGGTGTGATAAATTATATCAATGGCTGCCATGGCTACCATGAATTGAGCCACGGCGTTGCTGCTTCGACTCGGGTGCCGCAGGAACCCTGAACCCGAAAGCCTCAGAAATTCATGAATGGCAAACTACCGATGTTGAAAACCGAGTCGATTGTTGCAGCCTGCCAAGTCGACTGCAGACACCTGCTGAGATTTTTTGGTGCCGTCCCATCAGTTCACCTTACCGTTCGCGAGGGTTTGCAAAGGCGCGGGGCCCAGAACTGGGTTTCGAGTTTTTCGGGCCTAGGAATGAAAATTTGAAGTTGGGCCAGTTGGGCCCAGAGGTTTTGCCAGAAGCTCACGCGAGATGGTAAGATGTACGGTGTGCCCATCGTGTGGGACTCGACTTCCACCGTCCTCAGCTTCGGCTGCGGCTTTCCGATTTCAAGCATGGTCGATCAGAGTACGGAGTACCTGGCGATTTCGAGGAATCCAATGTGACAGCTTTGGGATTCCCGACTGTCTATCTGAAAAGCACGGGCGACGTGCCATGACTTCAGCGCCGGTCGATTCCTCAAGTTGACCTGCCATTGCGCATGGACATGTCGTTAGTGCCGAGCAAGATGCCGGCAGGCCCCTTCCTGTACCTTCGAAGGCACGTGCATGGTAGCTTCTGACGGCCTGAAATGTGTTTCAAGGGTGTTGGAAGCAACCGTTGAGGATCAAATCGTGATGCCGCACAGCATCGGTTGTGAGCCAAGGGGATCGAACCAATTAGGCAGAAAGTGGTTAATCATAGAAGGCAATATCTAGCTGGGAGAACGTGTTCTAAGCCCTAGACAGCACCGCAGGTTCTTGTTGATCACTGATGTGTCTAAATATGAAATTGCATGGCTTGTGCTTTGGTGTGATAAATTATATCAATGGCTGCCATGGCTACCATGAATTGGGCCACGGCGTTGCTGCTTCGACTCGGGTGCCGCAGGAACCCTGAACCCGAAAGCCTCAGAAATTCATGAATGGCAAACTACCGATGTTGAAAACCGAGTCGATTGTTGCAGCCTGCCAAGTCGACTGCAGACACCTGCTGAGATTTTTTTGTGCCGTCCCATCAGTTCACCTTACCGTTTGCGAGGGTTTGCAAAGGCGCGGGGCCCAGAACTGGGTTTCGAGTTTTTCGGGCCTAGGAATGAAAATTTGAAGTTGGGCCAGTTGGGCCCAGGGGTTTTGCCAGAAGCTCGCGCGAGATGGTAAGATGTACGGTGTGCCCATCGTGTGGGACTCGACTTCCACCGTCCTCAGCTTCGGCTGCGGCTTTCCGATTTCAAGCATGGTCGATCAGAGTACGGAGTACCTGGCAATTTCGAGGAATCCAATGTGACAGCTTTGGGATTCCCAGAGGTCCATATGAAAACCCGCGACATCCCGCGACGTGCCATGACTTCAGTGCCGGTCGATCCCTCAAGTTTACCTGCCATATCGCATGGACATGTCGCGGGTGCTTGGCACATAAACCTTCCAGTTCAAATGCATGGCGGCTTCTGAGGATCAAAGAATGTTTCAAGAGTGTCGGAAGCAACCGTTGGGGATCAAATCGTGATGCCGCACAGAAGATAGGTTGCGACCGAAGGGAAGCAAACCAACTGGGCAGCAAGTGGTAACTGGTAACTCCGAAGGTAAAAGCCAGAAAGTTGGAATATGATTATCCTAACCCTTCTATGGTAAATTATAGGGTATCCTACCATGAAACCATATTCCAACTTTCTGGAGTTCCCTTTACAAGATTAATTTTAAACGCTTCGCGTCGTCTGCCTCGGCCCAGCTGTGGTGCATTATTTCGGAAAGCAGCAGCCCGAAAGCCTACCAAGGCCCATAGGCCTGAAACGAAACTCAAAACCCCAAACCTTGAAGCCTAAACCGCTTCGACTTGCTTTGCTGAGGCGCAGTGGAGAAAGAGTCACTGCACTTTAAAAAACCTTCAACCCGATACCCTATAACCCTAAACCCGCAGCGTGCAGGGAGAAAGCGCTGCCCCTGATGCAAGCGTGAAGCTCGCATGCCATGGCATGGGAGGGTCAGCAAGCAGTGCGAGAGGGTTCACCAAACCAAAAGTTTACAAAATTGGAAGGGGGGGGGGGGCCAAGGAGGGGCCCGGGGTGGCCCTAAACCCTAAACCCCAAACCCTGCCCTACAGAGAGCCGAATCTCTTTGGAGGGACCTTCGGGCTCATCCAGAGGTTCACACAGAGAGGGAGGGGGGGGTCAGGTGCCCTTTTGTTGGGGTGCAGGGAAAGGGGATTAAGACGGGGGGAATGGAGGGAATCTGTATAGGAACCTCTGACCGCTTCGGCCGGGGCTGAGGCGAATAAGGACAGCGACTGTTTAGATTCTTGATGGGATGATCTGACTTGATCCCTGTCATAGCCAAAAGCAGCAGCCTCTCATGATCCAGCGGCTGTGCGCCAAGCTTTGTCCATGGCAGTGCCAACGTCATGGCCGCTTGCCATCGCCACAGACTGGCACTTTGAACCCTGCCGGCAGTGCTCGAAAACCCTGACCTGCCAAAGAGCAGATTGGGTGCATGTCAGGTTGGCCCTTCTTATGGGTGGTTGTCAAAATTATGGTTCCTTTTTGAGTCCCTAATATAGTACGGCACCTATTATTTAATGAGTAAGGTATCCAAAAAGGAACCCTAATTTTGACAACCACCCTTATGGCATCAGCAAAGCCTTGCCATGGGGGCCCGCTTTATGATTGCTGCTGTGCCTAGTAGTTGATCTTGCTATTGGTATCACAGGTTCGTGTGAATGTTGGTATCAAGGGCCATTGTGGTTGTTTGGCATTTAAGGCCTTGTATTGGTCTTACTGCTGCGCTGAAACAGTGATAGCAATTCGTGCGACTGACTTGGCACTTTCAATCTGTCTAACCCATGAAGGAATCTTTTGCCCCAGTATGCCCCAGCCATAAGGACTCACTGCCCTGTACAAGGAACAGCTAGCAAAGGGTCCCGAAGAATTATTAGTGATACTCTGATTTTGCGAATGTCTGTGGGAATGCAGCATAAGAAAGACATAAGCCGTACGGTATAACATAGACATAAACCCCAAACTCCGTTCTACTTATTAATTAAGCCCCCCCCCCCACGTGCCTGTGCCCGTTTTTATGGACTTGAAACTCTAAGTTGCGTTGGGTCTCCTTCGGGCACCGGGGCATGAATTCCTTCCGCGCCTACGAAACGCGGCGATTTACCGTGAGGTCTCTGGGCCCGAAAGCCTCGTGACTGTATGAAGCTTGGCAATCCAGTGTCAGCGAGGCTAGTTCCATTTCAGGCACGCGAAGTGCATCCACGACGCCGGGCCTTGAGGAAAAATGCAGGGCCACGAAACAGCGCTTCCCTTCACTGCAACGATGCCATATGGGAGTTTCCGAAAATGAGGGGATACCTGATTTTGGGGTCCTTATAATACGGATCCTATTATTTGGGGTACTATATTAGGGTCCCCTATTTTCGGAAACTCCCATATTCCAAGCGTTCAGGCGGCGTGCATGCGGAAGCCTTCCATGCCGGCCACCCGCCAGCGCGGCGCTGGGATGTGCAGGCGCGTGCGCCCAAACTCGCAGAAAGGCAGGAAACAGATTCCAGCCCTCGGATCTTCGACCTAGCTGCATGACAGCTGTGGCTTCGACCCCTTGAACTCTGAAATTTGCCATTCCAGCAGACTCCCCGACGGTAAGTACTGCTCACTTCGCCAAGACATTCATGTCAATTCGTGAGCTACCAGGGCCCCTGCCAAGTGCAGGACCGCTTCACTCGCAACGACATCCAGGCTGGCAGAGCATCGAGCTGTTCACGATCCTACCGGGGGAGGGGCAGGAGTAAAGACCTGGAGTGCATTGACCAAGCCCAGTGGTAGAACGCAGCATACTTGCCGCCGCCGGAGCTCACCAGCTACATCTCCGATATACTGGATCCTTTAGTAAGTATCCTTGGCGCTACGTACTTTCTGCTAATGCAGCTACTTATAAAGCTAAACTCTTCTATCTCAAATATTACTCAAGTTTAAGGCTCCCTTGCCAAATCCTATAAAACCCTCACAGTAGAACCCTTACAGGACGCTTATTCGAATTTCTCAGTGATGTTCAACCTATTATGACTGTATCAGTTTTCATTCTGACTACTAAGACGTTTTGTCATTATTACTCTTGTTATCTGTCATTGAAGTTGTTTCGAGAAGTGGAGCGCGGTCGGACCGCCAATACGACTGAGGTAGTCTAAAATTATGTTTTACATTGCCCGCATGTTTAAACACTTCTGGGGTTCACCATTTTACACAGACTTTTCGGCCCGGGCCAGAAGGCCACACAGGTAGCATAAAATGTCCGTTTAGATATTTGGAAGTCCACATGTTGAAGCAATCGTCACCGTAGTAATAGCATTAGTATTCGTATGAGTAGGAGTAATAGTAGATTTCTTGTTATCAAAGTCCTTAGTCCTATTATTATTACTATTATCATTATTACCATTACCACTATATTGTTGATATTATTACTATTGTTAATTGGTCATCATATAATCATGGTTCTCACCGCCATTAATAGCAACAGTATGATTATCGTCATGATCGTTATTTTCATTATGATAGATTCCTTTTTGTTGAGACCTTTATCTGTTTCGGAGGCTCAGTGCATCTCCGTGAGGCTGTGGCTGCCACCGTGGCTTTTGGGATGGGCATCGATAAGCCCGACGTCCGTGTCCTGGTGGCAGGAAGGTAGGGTTTACTCTACGGCGTTCTATAGTTTTTCTAGGCCAGTTTGGAGGTGTTATTTGAAGGGTTCCAAAGGGTGGGTTTTAACCGTTCATGTCAGGTTCTCTGCATAGGCATGATTATGCAAAGTGCAAAAGGTTGGGGTCGTATGGCTCCACGTTTGACCCGAAAAAGGCAGGTTTTCTGTGTTTTTTCTACAGCCCAGAACTGGTCACCTGTCACGTGGCATCCAGGTCGAGTGCTTCACTTCGGCATGCCGAAAAGCCTGGAGGCCTACATGCAGGCCGGTGCCTTGCACTTGATTTTTGAGCACTTCTCCTCTTCGCTACAATACTACAACGAATACTCTTGCCGCTTCTTCTGCGGCTACGACGGCGGCCATGACGATTGTTCCCTGCGTCTACGTTCACTACCACTACGGTTGCCATAGTGCTGCCGCTACGGCGTTACAGCCGCTGCTGTTGCGTTGACAAATAGGCGACTTCGACGACGACAAGAATGACAACGACAGGAAGACGACGGTTACTGACAATAAACCTGTGCAATCTGCAACCGGTGAAGCGAGTCTCTTTCCAGCATCGTCGGCCTCGTCACAGTAGCCGGCTCGTTGGTTTTATGTTCAGTCTTGTGTCGCGAAGACAAAAGCTGCAACAGACGTCACCGAAGCAATGATGCATGGACCCATGTGGTCCATGCCAAGCGGTTTTTGCACCGAAGCAGGATTGATTGCGATCGCTAGCTACTTGTATCAATAATATGTTCGGCTTATTTCGGTTTGCTCCGTTCTCGTTGTAATTTTGTAGCGCGCACGAAGTGTTACAAACGTGCCCGTTGGCAGGAGTCTGGCCGAGCTGGACGCGATTCCAAACCTGGCACTTGCATCGTCCTCTACACGAAGAACGACCGGAATCAATATGAGCAGGTTCCGACGAACCGGTCATGTCCCACAGTCACTGAAACACCTGTAATGTTGGCAACTAATGAAGAGCAGTAGCAGCGGCGTCGTAGCCGTAGTCGTTGTCGTAGGGGATGTCCTTGTCGTCGCATCACCATCATCGTCATCAACAACGTCATCAGGAGCAGTAGTAGTAGTCGTCGTCGTCGTCGTAGTCGTAGTCTTAGTCGTAGTGGTAGTGGTAGTGGTAGTGGTAGTGGTAGTGGTGTAGTAGTAGTAGTAGTAGTAGTAGTAGTAGTAGTAGTAGCAGCGGTAGTGGTAGTGGTAGTGGTAGTGGTAGTGGTAGTGGTATTAGTAGTAGTAGTAGTAGTAGTAGTAGTAGTAGCAGCAGTCGTAGTCGTAGTCGTGGTCGTCACAGCAGCAGCAGCAGGAGTAGTAGTAGGAGTAGTAGTAGTAGTAGTAGTAGTAGTAGTAGTAGTAGTAGTGGTAGTGGTAGTGGTAGTGGTAGTGGTAGTGGTAGTGGTAGTGGTAGTGGTAGTGGTAGTGGTAGTAGTAGTTGTAGTAGTAGTAGTAAGTAGCAACAGCAGCAGCAGTACTAGAAAGCAGTAGTAGCAGTCAGTAGCAGTTGCAGTAGCAGTTGCAGTAGCAGTAGTAGTAGTAGCAGCAGCAGCGCTGCAGCAGTAGCAGGTGTTGTGTTTGTTGTTGTTGCTGTTGCTGTTGCTGTTGCTGTTGCTGTTGCTGTTGCTGTTGCTGTTGCTGTTGCTGTTGCTGTTGTTGTTGTTGTTGTTGTTGTTGTTGTTGTTGTTGTTGTTGTTGTTGTTGTTGTTGTTGTTGTTGTTGTTGTGTTGTTCAGTAGCAGTAGCCGCAGCAGCTCGCATTGCTGGAGTGTGGAGGGCGAATTGCTTTGGATCATGTCCAAACGCAGAGGCCCCCGTCCCCGTTTCCTGCGGTACACCTAAATCCTAACAGCGTCCCTAACTTTGGAGGTGCTGCTTGGCCAAGAGAGCTTGGTACTAACGCCAGCGCTGCACAGGACATCGGGACCGCACAAAGTGCACCCATGCTGTCTTTCATGCGTGGTCTTCATCGCATCAACCAACGTCGTCACCGGAACTATCCTTTCCGTGTTGGCTACTGACAACTGACTGTACATTTCATCGTCCAAGATCGGAACTGACAACGCTTCATTTGCAAAGACCAGCTTCGCCAGGGTCGAGCAGCCGACATCTCAGGTTGATTATACAAATTGTCATGAGTCATGATGATAAGAATATTAATAGTCATCATCATAGTCATAATAATCAAACGAGTCAGAATAATTCATAGTCATGACCGTAACCAGAATCATAATAATGATAATAATGATCATCATCATAAGACTGGTAATAATCGTTGCAGTAACAATTAGTGCAACTGATAAACTAGTTATTGCTGTAAATAAGAATAAAATACTAGTGATACTAGTAAGAGAAGCGTTCTCTGTACCGGTCCAGCGAAGTGTAGGACGTCGCAGGATCAGCGGTTCGATGTCCGCTGCCAAGGGTTCAATCCAGCAATTCTGTCCTGAGCTTCCTTTCTCGCAGCATGTGCGCAGCGTCTACAGAGAGGTTCCTATAAACTTGTAAATACCCTAAGGCTCCAAAGTAGTTCCTTTTGGGGGTTCATATATAGAATCCTATAAGGTAATCCCAAAAAGGAACTACTATGGAGCCTCTGGGTATTGTCAGGTGTTGGGTTGCAGATTTTTGGGGTGCTTTGAGGTACGTGACTTGGGAATCGCATGATTGTGTGGGCAAAAGCTTGATAGTTACTTAGCAGCTGCGATGTTGCATGACCATATCTATCATGAAGAAACTTCAGAAAAAAGGCAGTGGCTTCTGCCAGATTATGGAATCCTTCCGAGCACTTATGCATCTATAAACCCATTTATAAGACTTCAGAAGACCGTCTCAGACCTTGAGAAGCCTTGCAAGCATAGACGGCGCAAGCCTGAGCTAGCAGGAGCCTGATGCGCTACCAGAGCTCATTTTTCTACTGCTGCGGACCCAGGCCTTGGAGAGGTCGAGGACAGACAGGCAAACGGCAACACGAAGGAGCAACCAGATATGCGACGCCAAGCAGACATGCAGCGAAACAAACGACCCACGAGCTTGAACCGCCCAATGCCGTAAGGTCGGAACCGTCGGCAGTGCCGCCGTGCCCAGCTTCTTCAGTACCTGGGCGAGGATCCCATGCGGCGCTGTCCAATGCCCCGCGTTCGCTTCTCCACGGGATAGTTACAAACTGGTTATTTTGGGGATTTCCCAGAGCTCCAGGTGTGGATGTCTACCATTTCGTCAGGGTGTAAAGCTGAAGGTTTTCGGACCTGTGGAATGTCTACGCACATGCGAACACACGCTTTTCTGAATACCCTGTTCCAAGTTCGGCATGTATGCATGCATGCATGCACAAAGAAGAACAACCGTTGCTGAAAGAGGATCAGTGATGTAATTAGTGTTGTGTTGCACTGACCTGTAGCTTACCCGCAACACGTACCCGCATCGTCTGACTCTGCAGTTGCACAAGGGCTCGGGGTGCAGGGTGCAGGATGTGGATTCAACGACCAAGTCCTATTTCTTTCTTTCATTTTCAATAACAGCGATACTAGGCTAGTGATCCATAAACATACTACTGCACAAACCATGAAATTTGTATTACAATAATAATAGTACTTGTAGTAGCAGTTATAGCATTCAATAGTCAATAGGAGCAAAAATCGCAGTCAGAGTAAGAGTCGTAACAACACTAGCCATAATGAGAGTTAGTCATAGGTGTAGATGGTCACAACTGTCTGAATACTACTAACAGTATTGGTAGTGATGGTGATGTTCGTCAGAATTGCACACATAAACGCGAAGGCCTTAAGGCCCTCACCCAGAAGCCCTAAACCCGAAAACCACCCTGCACCCTACTTAAAGGATCATGGGACTTAGTAACTGGGGTTATAATTAGGGTAACTATACTTATAACTACTTATAGCCCCAGTTAAGGTGCTTATAACCTTACTTACTAAGTCCCATGATCCTCCAAGTACAGTAAACCCCCAAAAAATGCTCTTCGCCCAGGAGCCCTGTGCCGCCGCAGCCTTCCGGCAGATTTGCACCAGCCGCTCGTTTTGCAGATCGGGACTTTTCGGACACACAGCCTTCTACAGATTAATCTTATTACTTGTATCATTGAAATTTGCTATTGTTGCTATTATATGTTAACTGGTTTTACTGTTGTGATGCTTTTTATAAATACTGTCATAATTTAGGGTTAAGGTTTAGGGTTTATGGTCATGATGATTATGACTGCGGCTATGGCCATGGGCCACAATGATTATGTATGTATACGATTATGATAAGGATGGTTCCTAGCTCACACCGGTTCCGTTTAAGTTGTAGGATTTTTACATCAACCCCGGTCAATCCCGTTTCTGATTGGATTTCTTCCTGGAGTCGCAAAAATCATTGTTCTGTCAATGCTGGTATACTGTCATTGTTCTTGTTATTTTCATGCTGGTCACTATCAGGACGTCTGTAGCTATTCTTACCATTACGGTTAATACTATTCCATTATTTTTGAAGTCGGCCAGCAGTGTGCATTTTTCTGCTAGGTTACAAGTGTTAAACTTTCATTTTATTTCTATGGCCTTTATCCGGACTGCTCCACAGCACATCGCATGTTTACAGAGTCGAAATTATTCATGCAGGAGCGCCCACAAAAAAGTCGGACTCGTCTAACATAGTATCCCCGTGTTTTCGCTATAACTAGTCGCACATACTCCAAAACCCTGCCCTAGAAATCGGGTTTCCGAAATAGGGGACCCCATTATAGTACCCTAAATAGTAGGATCCTTATTCTAAGGACCCCAAAATAAGGTACCCCTAAGCCTAGTTTTTGACAACTACCCATATGAAGACACCGAGGCCAGGCGCCGCCTAACCATGGAACCCCGGGGTTTTGTGCCCTGATCCGTGGAGAGCTACGTTGCGCCCGCAGGGGGCCAAGGAAGCATGCCTCTGTTATCCAGCATCCTGAAGTAGCTATCGTAGCCGTCATCGTCATCATCATCCTTGTCGTCGTCATCGTCATTTGCATCTCTCTCTCTCTCTCTCTCTCTCTCTCTCTCTCTCAACCTCATCGCCGATATTATAACTACCACCAACAGTCTCACGGCCCTAATCAGCTACTCGTGTCGTAGTTGTTGCCACCAGCTGCGTCATCATCGTATCTCAGTACGTCATGCATCATCCTCGTCGTTCACACTCATCGATGTTTTAGTTGTTGCCACTGTCTTCATCACCCATCATCGTCATCAGTATCGGCGTCATGTCTATCTATCTTCATCACATCACCATCGTTAGACGTTAGAGTCGATGCTAGTCCTTTCCCCGAGTAAACAGAATCAAAAACTCAGAAAGTATTGTTTTGTTAGGCTGTTTTTTGTGTTCTTCGCTGTCACTTTTTAGGGAAATTGCTCTTGCCCCCCTTTTTGTCGTTTGCCTTTGCTCCTGCTGCGTCTCTTGCTCTCGCTCCTTTGCTTACCTTTGGTTAGTAGGGAATGGAAGAATGGTAGTAATAGTAGTTATAATGGTACCCCATTCCTCCATTCCCTACTAACCAAAGATAAGTTGCTTTCGCTTTTACCCCTGATCTTGCTCTTACTGCTGCTGTTGCTGCTCCTACTCCTGCTCTTGCTCTTACCCTGTTCGTGCTTTTGCTCCTGCTCTTGCTCCTGCTCCTGTTCTTGCTTCTGCTCTTGCTCCTGCTCTTCATCCTGCTCTTGCTCCGGAACCCCCGTGCAGATTTCGTGAGGATTGGACCCAAAGTGTTTTTCTTACTAGGCGGGTGCTTAAGAGGTAGACGAACGGACTGGTCATCATCCGTTTCAGTCACATCACCCGTATCACCACCACCACCACCAACCAGCGCCAGCACCAGAAGGACTAGGCGAAGAAGCAGAGGGTGAACTCCAGTCATGAAATCATGCAGGCTCGTGTCGCACGCTGCAGCCGAAGTCTTCAAGAATGGATCTTTCACAGAATGTACATGAAGATTGAGTTCAGCCTGCAATAGCAGCGAGGCTGCGACAACTGCTGTGGCTTGGCCGGGAGCCCAGGCACGGATTACGAATGCGCATGCTTCTCAGTTTGTCTAGGAGTGCTTCAATTTTGCTCACCTCAGGGACAAGAAAATGCGAATCTGAGGATCAGGCCGCTCTCTTCAGCAACTGCCAAGATGCTGGCCGGCGCCCCAAAGAGTAGCCCATAGTAGCAGCAGCAGTGGTACTGTTGGTGTTTTTGATAGCATAGTAGCGATGAACCAAGCTCCCTGCACAGACGACCTAGGGGAAGACCTCCAGCTGCTCGGTTGCACTTGGGCCCTGTTTTCTTGCGCTCGGGTATTAAGTAACTGCCATACATTTGGGGGTTCCCGATAATCTAGCATAATGGGCCCCAAAACCCTATTCTAATTATTAAGGTCCTTACAAAAGGGTTCGGGGCCGAAGTCTAGGGCTTCAGGGCAGAGCAACATGTGTTGTCGCTGGCTTCAGAAGTCATTTGGCTCAAGACGCTGATCCAGGCCAGGCGCATGGCTGTGGCTTGACCGCGAAGTGGGGCAGTAAGCTGTATTTTGTGGGGTTTTTTGCCCTCAGTCTATTAAGGTTTGGAGGGCAGTCGACGTATTTCTAATGCTTGAAAAAGTACGGTTGGTCAGGACAGGACAACACGAGTTCGTTGCAAGTTCGTTCTGTTTAGTTGTATTGTTGATACAGGCAGGCTTTTCGGAGCTCCGGCTGCGTGTGCTCACATGCCCGCAGAGGCCATACATGAAGATAGCAGATGTTGCCCAAATCTATAGTCGCCTTAGGATTTTTTTTTCATGTTTGTTTATATAAAACCCAAGAGAATATTAAGCACATTATTTGTATTATGGTTCTAAGGGGGGTATAGCCATGCCCTAAACGCAACAAAAGTGAATCCCAAAAGGACCTATCACCCTAAATCCTCGCAGCATCTTCATAGTATCCCGTACCACAGCTCCCAGAGGAACCCCTTACTTTACTGCTCTTACGTATTATGTTTCATTTTTTATATCAAAACTTAAGGGGCTTAATAAGAATAGCATTTTTATTTTGGGTCTAAGGGCGGCTAAGCTTATGCTTCCTGAACTTTGCCCAGATGGAGCAGCTCAGCATCGCGAAGCACCGTCTCGGCGATGCACTGCGAAGTACGGTGAACGCGTTCACTGTTGCCGGCGGCAGCCCGTTGGAACGGGGTTTAGTAACGGGTTTCTTTGACGGCTCTACACTTATATAGCGGTTCATCAAGCTTTAGAATTTATACGAGTCTTATTCTTGCGTCGTGGGTACAGTGTTCAGGTTTGGATTTGAGACCTTGACAGTTCGGGGTCCCCCGGGATGGGCGGTTTTATGCCAGTAGGGCCCACTAAGCTCTAAACCTTAAACCCCATGCCCTAAAGCCCTGAACAATGCGCTTAAAAGACTGAACCCCAAGCCGTAAACTTGAAGTCTTGTTGTAGAAAGCTGGATTTAGGGTT